TCCATACTGGAAGAGTGCTCTATACTAAATTACTAAATTAAAGAGGCTTATAACCTTTCTTGGATTGTAACAGATTCACTTCCTAAACAGATGGTCTTTCACTATTTAATGGCTCTTTAACTCCCTGCATCTGGCATCGGAGTAGACTATACACTAAAAAAATCACAATGGTTACCAATAGCCTACATCATGGAAGCCAGCAACAGAGGTGCTAGAGGATGTATAAATCAAATATAGCCAAATAATTTTACATATTATAGACCAGCATTCCAGATAAATTAGAAAATTTCCCCAGATTACACCGTAAAGTGTGAAGCAACTAAATTTTCAGCACTGTTTTGGCACCCTGTAAGCACACAAGTCATCTAGACAGTCTCAAGGCACAACTTAATTCATTTTATGATCACAATTCTCTATATATGTTTTACATGTGAGGAAACTATGGCAAGGAGGTTCAATCAACTTGTCCAAACTTGCATTCAGGTCATCCATACAATGTGCTTCTTGAGACTATGTTCCTAACTGTTTTTCAGGTCAGAATAGCCAGTAATATGAAACTCATTTTATTTCCCTCTTTAACCAGCAATCTCCCATATCCTTACTACTTTAACACATTACAAAATGAGGCTCATTTGCTACAGAACTTCAAAAACCCATTGCCTAAGCATTATAAAAGTATAGAGGCGCCTTATCTCAGTGGACAACTATAATGCAGAATACAATGAGGCAGGGAGATGCTCATGATTGCTTGCCTATAGTTTCTGCAGCAATCAGACATCTTCCAAAAATGAATGAGCTAGCTGCACCACTGGTTGTTCATCATGCAAGATTCCAAAAAATGAATGACTAAGAAAGGTTGGGAAAAAATCTTGAAGCAATTTTTATATTACTTAACATGGCAGAGGTACTATAGTGCCAATAATAAAAGCGCCACTCACAGAAAATCAGTTGGTAGACAGAACTAAATTGACCTGGGCAACAGAGAAAGATAGAACAATAACAAGAACAAAATTAGAGTGAAAATAGAGAAGTAGTAAACATTCACAAGAAGATCTGAAAGTGGTTTTCTTTGTAGAAAAGTAAATACATAGTAAAATTACTAACTTTTGGAGTTGGTCTCATTTTAATGAGAAAAAGAAAAGGAAAAAAAGGATAACAATTATCTTCCTTCAACGTGATCAGTGTCAATATATAATAAATTCCATTTCAGCATACAATTAGCATTGAAAGGAGATTTTTGCATTTTTCAGAACATCCTTAATTTTTCTCTGTCCTAAGACAAAACTGCTATTTTCTTTCTGTAATGTGATATGGAGAAGGATGTCGAGGAAATAAGTAAATTTCTCTATTATTTCTTCACACCATAAAAAAACCACTGCTACTATATGATTGACAGCCAATCCTCTCCACCTTCGGAAGTTACCTTCATATTGGTTCTGATAACTGACAAAGTATAATATGCTGTAAAAGATTACAATATGCCTATAAAAAGTTACGTTTTATAGAGATTAAAAAATGTGTCTATAAAATGAAGGTAAAGGTAAAGGTAAAGGCCCTCCCGTTGATCGTCGATTTGCTTGAGCGGGCCCAGTAACATCTCCATTGGAGACTTTGCTGTTACTGTGTTTGGCATATCGAATACTCTCGGTAGCTTGCCGGGCTCTCTGAGAGGGGCACAGGAATCGAACTCGGGTCGGCCATGTTGGCCGCTTGTAAGGCGAACGCCCTACCGCTGTGCTATCGCTCCAGCCCTATATAAAATGAACATAATACTTATTTTAAAAAATGCTAAAATTAGACATAATAAACATGAAATATTTTGGACAGCACTTATAGAGAATGGGAACACAATAAATAGTGGTTATTCTTTGGTTATACTCAGTGGTGCTCAGACTTGACTCCTGACTTTGGGCTCAGGAATCACTCCTGGTGAACTTGGGGTAATATATAGGATATTGGGGATCAACCTAAGTCAGTCGCATGCAAGGCAAGTGCGCTACCCACTGTCCTATCAGTTTGGCCCCAATAGCAAATTTTCTTGTATCTCTCACTGCCTTTTTCTTGATTATCATATACCAAACTAAGCTGGTAGAAGACAGAAAAGGGTAAGACTCTATTCCAAGGACCTTTGTCAGGATAGCAGATACATAGACCAGCTACTACAAAACAACAAGAATTATAGCATGTTGTTGCCTTGCATATGTTTGACCTGGGTTTGATCTTCAGAACAGCACATTGTCCTCAAACCCCACTAACAAAAGTGACCCCTGAGCACAAACCAAAGAGTAAGCTCAAGCAGAGCTGAGTATGCCTCTCCCCACCCCACACCCAAAGAAAAAGAAACTGGAACCATATCATACACCATTCAACAAATATCAATTCAAAATGGTTTGAAAACCTTGAGAATAAACCAAAATTCATAAAATACACTGAAGAAAACAGAGGCACCACCCACCCCAGAAAGTAGACCTTAGAGTGTTTCGATGATTGGACTCCAGAGGCAAAAAACAATAACAATGACAATAGTCACAAAATAAAGCAATGGGACTACATCAGACTAAAAAGTTTTGGCATGGCAAAAGAACCTCAAGCTATAACAAAAAGACCCCACACTGAATGGGAGAAAACACGCACACACATTACATCAAAGAGCTAATATCCAAGATTTATAAATTACTCACAAAGCTCAATAGAAAAGTACAATAATCCCATCTAAAACTGAGGAGAGAAGATGGACAGATACTTCCTCAAAGAAGACACAGAAATGGCTAGTACACTTATTTTAAAAAGTGGTCATCATCACTTGTAATTAGGAAAATATAAATTAAAACAACACATGTCACCTCACACCAATGAGAATGGCATATATAAAAAGCATTGTAAATAACTAGTGTTGGTGGGGATGTGATGAGATAAGAGTTTCAATCATTATGGGTGGGAATGTTGTCTGTCTCTACCTTTATGGAAAGCAGTAGGAAGAGTTCTTTAAAAATGAAAATAGGGATATAAAGTCCTTTATAGACTGTGATCACTGATTTTGGAGAATGGGCACTGGTGGAGGGATGGATACTTGACCACTGTACAACTGAAACCCAAACATGAAAGTTTGTAAGTCTACAACTGTGCCTCATGGTGTTTCACAAATAAAAAAAAGGAAAAAAATAAAGAGAATTCCCAAAATGGTAGCAGATATGATCTGGAGACTAGAAATATCCATGCAGATACCCTATGTATTCCATGTACTTGTGTATATAAGTATGCGTGTCTTCCTATGTATGTGAAAATAGGACGCATCTCCCATCTTGAGCAAGCCCTCTAAGCACATGTGCTGAAAGTAGACTATAGACCAAACATGATGGCCACTTACTACCTGTATTGCAAACCATAACATACTCCAAAAGAGAGAGTAAAAGGTATTAGGGACTTGGCACAAGTCTGCAGAGTAAGGACACTTGGAAACTTGCCCGTGTGCTTCAGGACTTACCCATGATGCCTGTGTCCTTCTGCTATAATAAGGTGAAGTATAACAGCTCCAAATCCATTAATGTGATTTTAATATATAAAATACACATTCTGAATTATGCACAAAATTCACTCTCAATTGTGCTATGTTAAGGATTTTTAAGTAGGAAAGGATAGTTTCAAGTATATGTCAAAAATTACACATAACCCACAGCCCTTCTTATATATACCAATCATTAAAAAAAACTATTTTAATTGTTGATTTTGTTAGTCATGCTTTTTGATGGTCACTGTTTCTGCCTCTGCACCTCTAATCTGTGGCCTTATTTTCTAAGAAAAGCTCTGAGATTCCATCATTTTAGAAAAGTGGGTCACACATGTATAATACTGTATAAATGATACACACTAGGCTTAAAATGGCTCAGAATAAGAGCACTGAGTAATGGGAAGTTAAATACATCCTTATTTTACCATTTCTTCAAGTAAAATTGCCTATCTCAAATCTGTAGAGGCTGTAAAATTCTACTGATCCTGATAACTAATATAAAGGGCAATACCTACCTCAAGTAGGAGCTAACAGGCCAGTGAAAAATTTCTATCACATATTAATACAGCAATGTGTTAGTTTTTGAGAAAATATTAATGTTTATTTACTAGCCTCTCAAATAGTTTCTCATCTATAAACCAGGGTAAATAATAACATATATAGTTGAAGGCTAGCAAAAAAAAAGTGAGAGAAAGAATAGTTTGTCAAAACATAATAGAGTTGGATGGCTATTCGTTTCATTAAAATAAGCATCTACTTTGTGTATATGCATTATAGCCATACACTTTTGTAAAAAACAAAATGAACATTTCAACTGTACATTGTCTATACATGCTGATGCTTTTCTCACTAAGTGCATATTAACTACTTGAAATCCCAAGCACACACTCAGGTTCATTCCCTTTCTCCTCAGGCAGTTTCCACATCCACATCATTCTTATTTTAACAGTGCTCATTACTGATATCATTTAATACTTGAGGGTTTCCTCATGTCAACATCAATCTTATGGGTCCTGCAAATGCTTATTTTGTAAATATCACATAGTCTGAAGCCATATAAATGTAAAAATTAAAAGAAAAACTTCAACTGACATGTCACAACGTATTATGAACAACTCTATCAGTCACTCAGTACTGCCATGAGACATAGCACTGAACAGACATCCAGCATAGGGCTTGAGTAATGCAGGACCCCAAAACATGTGATCTCATTTGTCTCCGTGACACCCACATGTATTTTGTCTTCTCAAAGACACCTCACACCTTAAACACAATCTTAGTGAATATGAAAATATTAACCGAGAAAACATCTTGGGGATATTCTACTACCACTTCCTTATTAACAAGTCTACCTTACTACAAGTAAATCTAAACTAACATGATGAGAAAGAAGTTTTCTCTAAGAAGGAACAATAAAAACCCACCCAGAATAAAACTCCTTTGTAAATATTCTTGGGTGAGTCTAAATTAAAAATAAAATAGATCTCTTTACCTGATTGGAAAACCTCATGCTCACATTGCGTTGATTCTGTAGTGGCACATAGCGCTGGATAGGATCAATGTCTCTAGGACTGATTAATTCATCAGCTGAAAAAAAAAAAAGAAAATATAAGTGAAGTGATTAGAGGGGAGTGTGGAGTGAGTACTAAAGAGTATGAGGTTTCTGAGGTGGTGATAAAAAAAAATTTGAAATTGATTATAGCGATACAAATAACCCTTGAATTATAAGCTTAAAGTAGAAAGAATATGGTATATAAATTTACCTCAATAAATTTATTAAGAAATAGCATTTGTGGGGAAGTAGTTTAAAGGAGCGGAGTCCATCCTTTGCATGTTGGAACCTGGTTTAGATCCCAGGTCCTACAAGTTCCCCCTGCACTGCTGAGAGTGACCCAAGAGCACTCTACACCACAGAACCTAGGAGCTTCACATATGAGATTGGTAGTGTAGTTCAGTGGTAGAGCACATGCTTTACATGTGTGAAACTCCAGGTTTAATTCTCAGTACTAAAGGCAAAAATAATACATTTATGTCTTTTTTGAGTGATCCCTCAAAGCAGTGCTCAGGGAGGTCCTTGCAACTCTTCCAGCAATACTTAGCACAACAGTGCTGGGCACACTAGGCCATACTGTGGTGCCAAAAAGACCTGGAGCCTCCGCATGACAGGCATGCACTGCAGCCTTTTGCACTATTTCCCTGACCTGAGCATTTGTATTCTCAAGGACGGAAACCAGTTCATTGCAAGGAAAGAAAATGGTTCCTAAGAGACTTAAGAGATCAGTTGTATTTTATAGGGCACTAATTAGAATTAGGAAAATGTCCTCAATTACAGTTATACTATAATATGAAAGCTTTTCTCATGTAATAGTTCCTTGAGGAAACTCTGTGTGTGTGTGTGTGTGTGTGTGTGTGTGTGTGTATGTGTAGTTTCAGCAAAGCAGTGCTCAAGAGTTCTGGGGACAGGCAATACTGTCCACTGCACAGAAGAGTTCAATGCTCAGCAAGCAATGCTGCGCTACTTTGGCCAAGAGATGCTGGGGACCACTGGGTCTATACCCACTAGCACTTTGAGACTTAAAATGCTCAATCTAATGATGCTCAGGGGACGGTGTGGTGCTGAGGATCTAACTCAGCTCCTTGCCCATGCAAGGCATGTGCTGTGAATCCTGAGCATCTTCCTGATCTCTGGAAACTTTTAATATAATCCAAGGGAAGAAATTTGGATGGGGAAGGGAAAGTGGGAAGAGGATACTAAGTTAGTGTTTTACTGCTATTTTTCTGCTCTAATGTATAGGGACGTGGGAGTGTAGTAAAGATTCTCATGGATGTGGAAGAAACCATGCTGAGGAGGGTGGTGTTGGAATAACACCAATATAATTCTCAATAACTCCCTGAGAATGTAAGATGGCAGTATCTATGAAAATGTTTTATGAGCATACACTGATACAGTAACTGCACACCTCTCAAGTTATTTTACTTATGCTAAGAATGTGAAAGTCAATTAAATAACATTATTAAAAAAACTTTCTTAAAAAGATATTTTTTTAAATTGAGGCAGTATACTTCTTTATTTTTACTGCAATTAAGCTATGAAAATATATTAATTTCATTCTTATCTCCAATTTTTCTATTGATCAGGTAAAAATGACACTTTTGTTTTGTATAAATTTATCTGTATGTAGTATTCACTAAAAAAAAACTGTTCCACCACATTTTTCATAGCATTGTTGGTTTTACTTTTAGACAGTGGATAATTCTGAAAAACAGAAGTGGGAGTTAAACACAAACTTAGTAAATTTCTTAGCAGTTTTGAGTGTGTCTTACTGTATTTCTAACCTGGGGTTACTTTGGGGCATATATGCAGTGTTATTCAATAGACAAAAATTAACAAAGACACCTTTATTAATTCTTTAAATGTTTTTAACAATAGTAATAAAAGGGAATGTAACAGAATAACAAGAAAAAGGAGGAGGAAAAGCTGCTAGAGGCACTGCTTCTTCTGCATGAAGATGTAGAAACACTTGAAAGGTATTCCTTAAACTCCTGGCATTGTTTAAGCATTTGACATGAATTAATTCATTATCTTGGCAAGAACCTTATTGTTTTACATATTAAAAAAATGGGAGTTCTGAATGGTTAACAATCTATACAGTAAAAGAGAGCAAAAATTAAAACACATGTGGGTCCTCTCTAAAATCTGGGTTCTTTTTTTTATTTTTTAATTTTTTTATCAGTGAAACACAGTGAAGTACAGTTATACACTTAAAAATTTTTGTACTTGGGTTTCAGTTATACAATAATCAAATACCAATCCCTCCACCAGTGCCCATCCTCCACCACGACGGGTCCCAGCATTGCTCCCACCCCCCATACCCCCATCAAATCTGAGTTCTTAACTGTACTCTAACCTTGCATTTTAAAAATACGAACATTCTATACTAGACAGATGAAAAAAATTCCCAAAAGGAGGAAAATATATACAATTTAGACACTGGCATGTTGTATTTTCCAACCCATATCAGGGGGTATCTCAGAGAAAAATTAGCTCTCTGAAAATAACACTGCACTGTAGCACTGTCCTCCCGTTGTTCATCGATTTGCTCGAGCGGGCACCAGTACCGTCTCACAAAAAATTGTGAGACTTGTTGTTACTGTGTTTGGCATATCAAATACGTCACAGGGAGCTTGCCAGGCTTTGCCTAGTGGGCGAGATATTTTCGGTAGCTTGCCAGGCTCTCCGAGAGGAGGAGGAATCGAACTCTGCTCGGCCAGGCTGGCTTCACGCAAGGCAAACGCCCTACCCCTGTGCTATCCTCTAGGGAAGTAAAGCTGAAAATCCTCAGTCTGCTTCATCTGTTCTCTTCCAGCCCCCCTCCCCACCCCTTCACAGCAACCTGGCTTCCCCTTCCCACCCCCCCCCACCCCCCCCCCCCCCTTCCCCTCCCCTGCATCGCAGGCCTCCTTGGCTCCCAGCAATCTATCATTAAGTCTCTAATTACTTCATTTGGTTCAGCGGGGCATTTGGTTCAGCGGGGTGCCGACAGGTGTTTGTTTACCCAGTGCTAAGAACTGTCCTGGGTGCCAGGGCACCACGGAATACAGGCCCACAAGGGCCCTATCTTGTGGGAGGCCGGCTGCAAAGCACGTAAATGCAGGAGAAAATGCTGACAATCACCAAACCGTGACTGTGAGTGGCAGGAGGGAGTGGGACATGCCTCTAGCCAGGTGAAGAAGTCAGTGTCAGAGCAACCATACAGGGAGTACATCACTTGCCTTTATGTAGCCCACTAGTGTTCGGTCCTAGGCACTTAGATGGTCTCTCAAGCCCACCCAGAGTGACCCCTGAGCATCGAACCAGGAGTAAGCCCTGAGCATCCAGATGTGGTACAAAAAAAACAAACCAACCAAAAATTCAAAAGCCCAGTAACGGTATTGCAAACCACCGTGCCCAAAAGGAAAAAAGAAAAGTGTCTGCTATAGGGGCAGGCTGGGGGGGCTGGAGGGAAACTGGGAACACTGGTGGAGGGAAGTGGACACTGGTGAAGGAATGAATGAGTCCTTGAACATTGTGCAACCTAACTCGATCATGAACAACTTTGTTCATGATCGAGTTATTTGGAAAATAACACACTTTTCCAAATTTGGACCAAATTGATTAAAGCTTAATTGTGAAAAACATGAACATACAACTTCAGTTACTATCAGTTTAGCTCAGGGTGCAGGGCTAATTAGTAAACTAATATTACAAATAGCAGTAAATTATTTCTCTGTCTTATATTTCTGTTCAGCAGGATGTGAAAATTTTTTCCAACACTAACAATTCACATAATCAATGCCTCACTGTAATTCTATAGAAATAAAATTCCACCTTTATTATCTATAAATGATAAATTAAGAAATACTATATCCTTAAAAGTATAAATGCTTATTTATTAAAATTTATGAGTCAATTGTGTCTTTTGAAATGCAGTTTCCTTTTCAATGCTCTCTTTCTACCTCACCTGTACATCAGCTTCATGTTCCACCTTATATCAAGTCCTCATACATTGTGGGTTCCTTATTATGGTATTTTTCCACTACTGCAACAACTCATTTTATGGTTGGTATTCAAGAGACATATTAGACAAAAAAATGAAATGGTAGGTTAACTAAATTTAGAAATATTAATTGTCCTCATCATTTCTTTTATTTCCAAAATGGTAAAACTGATAATCTTAAAAGTTCAAGTAATAGATAATTTTCTGTTTTATCATATTTTAGGAGGCAAGGGTCTTAAGTAAAGGGTTACAAAATTGAAATAACCTAACATCTATAGACTACATAGGCAAAAAGAAAAGAAAATTAAAACCATAAATGGTTTTCCACATTCCATAATATATTGTCAAATCTTAAGCAGTTCTATATATATGGTCAGTTGTCTTTAAATTCTTATAGACTATAGAAGTTCAATATTCTTATTATGCACAAAAATGTTTATAAAATGCATTCTGGATTTAGTTCAAACACAGGGAGGTAAAAAGAAAATATTAAGTAAGCTTTTCTTAAAAATAAAAATGACAATTTAAAGGAAATTTAATAGTGCAAGTAATTTTTTATAATGATATCAAGTTTGCATAGGACACACCACAATAAGCTCAGCGGACTTTATGAAGTGAAATTATATGCTTCAGAGCCAAACTGATTTTCAGCTATAGTAACACATTTTAGTAAAACATGTATTAAGAAACGAATTATGGAAGAAAAGAAAATGTATATCCTAACCCCTACACATTATACCCAAAATTTCTAAGCATATATATATATATTTTAGCATTTTAAAAACTTTAACAATTTATTACTCTTATTTTCCAGTAAAATATTCACATAATGTCAAAAGAATGGAATGGAAAGAGATGTAGCCAACTACCTTTACCCACATAAATATTCAAAATCTAAAAACCTTGGGCTCATCGGACTGAGTAGAAATTTGATTCTTCAAAGCAACTATTGCTGTACTCTTGTCAAGGCCGCCCATGTGCTCGCCGGGCGGCGCGTGATCAGTCCAGGAAGAAGATGTTATTGAACTGCGTGGCACACAGCTTCTTGACCTCCTCATTTACTTCAATCAGGTTTGCATTTTTCTGATTCAAAATAACATAGAGCTCCCGCTGATCGGACTTTTTCCCAACAACCCAATAATCACTCATTGCTTTCACGATGATTTCTTCATCTTCATCCACCCTCGTGAAGTCGCTGTTGATGTCGCCCAGGATCTTCATGAGGTCAGGGTGAACAGAGGTGAGGCACACGCTAGGTGACTTCCTCATGTGGATCGTGCTCTTCTCGACCAGGTTCATGTGGTTGAAGTAGATGAACTTAAACTGTGGCTCCTTCTCAGACCCCGATATTCTTTTGTTGATGTTGAACTGCTCACAGATGTCTGATGCCAACACGGTCAGCTGTGGCCCCACGATGCTGTCCAGTCTCCGGCAGAAATCCAGTGTGGGCTGGACAGAGGCGTCGATCATGAAGCACACGGCTGCACTCATGGCCTTTTAAACGATTAAATGCAGCGCTTCATAAGTGTCGTCTGTATTTACAAAAATTTTAGGGAATCTGCATTTTGCTTCCGGATCATTCAGGTTCAAGGGTCCAGTAAGGAATCTCCCGTAGTGCTGGAGGTGCCCGGGCATCTCTGCCCTGATGGGAGAGTCCCTGCCCGCCAACTTGGGCTACATATGCCGCGGAAACAGGGAGGTGGTGAGGTATTTGTACAAAATTCTCATGTCCTCTTGCTCTAGGCCCTCCAGATAAGCTGATCATTGTAGAGAAAGGCAGTGTATTTGACTATGCGCAGGCTTTCCTCCGCCCTATTCACAAACGACTGGACTTTCAGGTAAGTCATTTTATCCAGTGGGAAGAAGCTGATTCCACCAAAAATGTCAAGCAGGTCGCACGACTGCAGATGCAGAGTCTGCAGGTACCTATGGAAGAATTTCTCTAATATTTGTTTCAGGAGTTTGAGGCCACCATCGTCCATAGCTTTCAGAAACGTACCATTAAAAAGCTGTGAGGCCGGAGGAGGGAGGAGAGCGCGGACCCCCAGCGACCCCAAGCCCCAGCGCGCCCGGCAGCACACCGGCCCCTCCCATCCAGGTGGGTTGGAGGACCCGAGTGGAGCCCCGCCCCTGAACCCGGACGCGCAGCCCGCTGAGCAAGCGCAGCCGGAGGAGGGAGGAGAGCGCGGACCTCCAGCGACCCCAAGCCCCAGCGCGCCGGCAGCACACCGGCCCCTCCCATCCAGGTGGGTTGGAGGACCCGAGCGGAGCCCGCCCCTGAACCCGGACGCGCGGCCGCTGAGCGAGCCCAGCCGGAGAACAGCGCGGATCCCAGGATCCTGGGAGGGAGTGGCCTGGGATTGTCTAGGGGCGTGGCCTCTAAGAAGGGGGCGTGGCCTAAAGTGGGCGGGGCCTACTTCCGGGTGGGCGGCCGCTAAGGCGCCCGCAGGTATATCACTCACTTCAATCAACTTGGACCTGCATCCTTTCATCCTTTTCATCAACTTGTTACCTAATACCAAATAAAATTTCTCACCTCTTCTACTACAATTCAACAAAATCCCACTCGCCTACTCCATTTCCAACAAAAGTTCAGTTGGAAAATAGCTATACAAGTTCAGTAGTAAATAGTAACGCCTCCAAAAGTTTCACTCAATGTCAGTTATAAAACAAAGAATAACGCCTGATTGAGAAGAAGGTCAGACTCAGAAAGGTAAAAGAGGCGCATCTAGCAGCAACAAAGCTGAACGGCTCCTGGCAGCCTCTCCTCACTCAACTAGAACAGTAGCAGCGAGTGTGAAGGACCAAACCACACTGGTCACAATGGTAAAGCAACGCAAAAGCCCACCAAACTTTCTTATTCACGAGGCTAGCCCAGACGACACCAACAGTACTATAGCGTTAGACAACCTCTCTGACAAGGAATTCAGAATGGAGCTACTCAGGATGCTTAGGGAACTAAAAGAAACAACGGAAACCAATGCCAATAAAAGACAAGAGGATTTGAAGGCAGAAATGAGGAAAATGCAATCGGAAATGTCGGACCTGAAAAACCTGGTAGCCGAATTGAAAACCTCAGTGGAAGGCCTCAGCAGCAGAGTAACAGCGGCTGAGAACAGAATCAGTGAGCTCGAAGATCAAGTTCAGAGTCTTGTCAGAAAAGAGCAGAAAATGGAAAAGAGACTCACAGTTTGAGAACAGATGGCAAGAGAAGATCGTGATGAAGCCAAGAGGGGTAACATAAGAATTATTGGAGTCCCAGAGGGATGGGAAGAAAACCTTGATGAAGAAGAAACTGTCAAAGAAATCATTGCTACAGCGTTTCCAGAGCTGAAGAAAACTTGTGACCACATCCAGGAGGCCCGAAGGGTACCGGCTAGAAGAAATCCGAATAAAAATACCCCAAGACACATCCTGATCAAAATGACCAAAACTTTAGACAGAGACAAAATTCTGAAAGCAGCAAGATCGAAGAAAGAAATCTCTTACAAAGGAGCATCCTTAAAATTCACTGCTGATTTTTCTGATGAAACCCTCATGGCCCGAAAACAGTGGTGGGACATAGTGAAAAAACTCAATGAAATAAATGCTTCTCCAAAAATACTTTACCCAGCGAGACTCTCATTCATAATAGAAGGAACAACACACAGTTTCACGGACAAACAACAGCTCAGGAACTTCATAGACTCAAAACCATGGTTACGAGTACAACTAAATGGGCTACTTTAAGGCAAGACAGACCTCTCAAATACACCAAATTTCAACAGAACAATGGGACAAAATCCCATAACAATAATCTCTCTCAATGTCAATGGGCTAAACGCACCAATTAAAAGACATAGAGTGGCAGGATGGATTAGAAAATTGAACCCAACATTCTGCTGCCTTCAAGAAACACATCTCAATAGTCAAAGCAAACACAGACTCAGAGTCAAAGGCTGGAAAACAATCCTACAGGCAAACAGCTCCCAGAAAAAAGCTGGGGTAGCTATCCTAATATCAGACCACATCGATTTCAGAGTGAAGAAGGTCATAAGAGAGAGTGAAGGCCATTTCCTATTGACCAAAGGATCTGTACAACAGGAAGAACTTACAATAATAAATGTATATGCACCTAATGAGAGACCAGCAAAGTACTTAAAACAATTACTCATAGATTTGGAAAAAGACATCAATAGCAACACAATACTAGTGGGAGACCTCAACACCGCTTTGTCACCTCTTGATAGATCAACCAGACTCAAGCTTAGCAAGGACATACTTCATCTGAGGGAAACAATGGAAGAAAGGGGCTTAGTAGATATATACAGGACACTTCATCCACAAAAAGCTCAATACACATTCTTCTCAAGCGTACATGGAACGTTCTCCAAGATAGACCACATGCTGGGCCACAAAACATGCCTCCATAAAATTAAGAAGATAGAGATTATATCAACAATCTTCTCAGACCATAATGCGCTGAAATTAGAAGTAAATCACACACAAAAACAGAAAACTAAATTAAACACATGGAAATTAAACAGTGCGCTATTAAACAACGAGTGGCTTAGACAGGAAATTAAAGAGGAAATCAAAAGATTCCTAGAAACGAATGAAAATGAGGACACGAGTTACCAAAACCTATGGGACACAGCAAAAGCAGTCTTAAGAGGAAAGTTTATAGCTCTACAAGCATTCCTCAGGAAGGAGGAGCGAGCCCACATAAATAAACTAACCTCACAGCTTAAGAACTTGGAGAAGGACCAACAAAAGGAGCACAACCCTAACAGGAGGAAGGAAATAATAAAACTCAGAGCAGAGATTAACGAGATGGAAACCCAGAAAACAATCCGAAAGATCAATGAAACCAAGAGCTGGTTCTTTGAGAAAATTAACAAAATCGATAAGCCCCTAGCAAAACTCACAAAGAAAGGGAGAGAGAAAACCCTAATAAACCGAATCAGAAATGAAAAGGGGGTCATTACAACAGAAACTACAGAAATTCAAAGGATCCTCAGGGAGTACTTTGAAAAGCTTTATGCCACGGAACATCAAAACCTCGAGGAAATGGATAAATTCCTAGACTCCTACAGACTACCAAGGCTGAACCAAGAAGACCTGGAATACCTGAACAGACCTATCACCATCAAGGAAATTGAAATGGTAATAAAAAGTCTCCCCAAGCACAAAAGCCCTGGCCCGGATGGATTCACCAGTGAATTCTTCCAAATCTTTAAAGAAGACTTACTCCCAATCCTCTTTAAGCTTTTCCATGAAATTGAAATATCAAACACACTTCCGAACAGTTTCTATGAAGCAAATATCACACTGATACCAAAAGCAGACAGAGATAACACAAAGAAAGAGAACTACAGGCCGATATCCCTGATGAACACAGATGCAAAGATCCTCAACAAACTACTAGCAAATAGAATCCAACTACTCATCAAAAAGATCATACACCATGACCAAGTAGGATTCATCCCAGGGATGCAAGGATGGTTCAACATTCGGAAATCAATCAACATAATCCATCATATCAACAAAAGAAAAGATCAAAAGCATATGATCATATCAATAGATGCAGAGAAAGCATTTGACAAGATCCAGCACCCCTTTATGATGAAAACCCTAGCCAAAATGGGCATAGAGGGGACTTTCCTCAACATAGTTAAAGCCATCTACCATAAGCCTACAGCAAGCATCATCCTCAATGGGGAAAAACCGAGAGCCTTCCCTCTAAGATCAGGGACGAGACAAGGATGCCCACTCTCTCCACTGCTGTTCAATATAGTACTGGAAGTACTTGCAATAGCAATTAGGCAAGAAAAAGACATTAAGGGCATTCAGGTAGGAAAGGAAGAAATAAAGCTCTCACTATTCGCAGATGATATGATACTATACTTAGAGAACCCAATAACCTCCACCAAAAAACTCCTAGAAACAATAGACTTGTATAGTAAAGTTGCAGGTTATAAAATCAATACCCAAAAGTCCATGGCTTTCCTATACGCAAACAGTGAGAGAGAGGAAAGCTACATGAAAAAATCAATCCCGTTCACAATTGTGCCCCAGAAAATCAAGTACCTAGGAATCAGCTTAACTAAGGAAGTAAAGGACCTGTACAAAGAAAACTACAAAACGCTACTTCAGGAAATAAAAGAGGACATGAGGAAATGGAAAGACATCCCCTGCTCATGGGTCGGAAGACTTAACATTGTCAAAATGGCAATACTACCGAAAGCACTGTACAAATTCAATGCAATTCCTATAAGGATACCCATGACATTCTTCAAAGAAATGGAGAAAACACTCCTGAAATTTATATGGAACAATAAACCCCCACGAATAGCTAAAGCAATTCTGGGGAAAAAGAAAATGGGAGGAATCAACCTCCCGAACTTCAAACTTTACTACAAAGCGGTAATAATCAAAACAGCATGGTACTGGAACAAAGGCAGAACTGCAGACCAATGGAACAGAGTTGAATACACTGACATCACCCCCCAATCATATGATCATCTAATCTTTGATAAAGGTGCAAGAAATGTGAAGTGGAGTAAGGAAAGCCTCTTTAACAAATTGTGCTGGCATCACTGGACGGCTACATGCAAAAAAATGGGCTCAGAACTCTGCCTAACACCATGTACAAAGGTAAGATCAAAATGGATTAAAGACCTCAACATCAGACCAGAAACCATAAGATACATTGAAGACAAAGTTGGCAAAACCCTCCATGACATTGAGGCTAATGGTATGTTCAAAGATGACACGCCACTGGCTGAGCAAGTGAAAACAGAGATAGATAAATGGGACTATCTTAAACTAAGAAGCTTCTGTACCTCCAAAGAAACAGTGACCAAAATACAAAGACAGCCTACAGAATGGGAAAGAATATTCGCCGAATACACATCTGACAAGGGGTTGATATCAAGGATATACAAAATACTGGTTGAACTCCACAAGAAGAAAACATCCAACCCCATCAAAAAATGGGGCAATGAAATGAACAGAAA